CACGGTTGGCTTTCTGGGCTGCCAGCGCTCATTGCTGGGTCGTGTTGAGCTTCTCGTCCCCCAGCACCCCAAGAGTCCCAAGTTGTTGAGATGCTGCAGCTTGCCTGGTTCTGGGTCCCTGGTCCTTCTTACAAATGTAAGAGTTTGTCGAGCAGCTGTAGATGTAAATGTAGGGTTGTGAGTTACCAGGGTGTTTCTCAGCTGAGATGGTTGAGCAGTTCGCTGCCTGCGGTTATGAGCTGCCTAGTAGGTAATCAGGCTTTCCCAAATCATCTTTTTTCTTTAGAAATTTCAGATTATTCAGGTGAAATAGCAAAAGCAAAGGGTGTTCTTCATTGGTCACAAACTATCATTTTTTTTGCAACTTTTGTAGTCAATATAGAAATACAAAAAATGTGTCATCCACTTTGGGGAATAATTTGAGGGACTGCTAATTTATATGGGAAATAACATTAAGTGCGGCTTGGGGAAAAAAAAATATTTTAGCAAATTCTGTTTTGATTCAATTGTGCTGAACGCCGTAAGAAACAGTGCTTTCCTTCCACTGAGTGAGTTAGAAATTTCTGTTTTTTTCAGTGGAATCAATTGATATTAAAAATCCACTTACAAACATTGGTTTTCTTTACGACCTTTTGGCAGAAATTTGATTTGCTATATGCTTTCCATGATTTTGAGGATATCGATACTTAGTAAATCCTGTTAACTTCAGTAACTTGAAAATACACTGATTCATAAAAGTGATAAAGTCAGCTGTCAGTGTATGATGACGTTTTAGAACAATAAAACATGTACCAAAGGGTAATGATTTACATTGGGGTTTGTTTTCTTTTTTTTAAGGTCTTGCAGAGTCAACATCTAGTTTTCCAGAGATGAACAATCTAGATTTCATTTCACCAAGTGTCCTGTCTGAAGATGCAGTTGTAATTGTTGGTAAAGGTATTACAAACCCAGAATTATCTCCTTTATCTTATGAAGTTTCTAAAATGAGGGAAAATGTACTTTTATAGAGCGGGAAAAGGAGAAGTAGATTCCTTACAACATTTTAGATTGTGAACAGTCTCCAGTTCAAATGGGAATAAAAAGAATTATGCTTGGAAGTTTTGCAGTTACTGGATATGCTGTTCCATTCCAACAGCTTAGAATGGCAGCAAATGATGAAGGTTGGGTCTTGGTTCTGGCCCAGCATGCACACGTGTGCGGGCATCCATCCTGCTCGGTAGAATGAGGTAAGAGTACCTTTGGGTGGGAACGGCACTCCTAGGATAATAGCCACGGTTTTACCTTCTTGAATTACTTTTGGTTTTCTTTAGCGTTTGCTAAGTTCTGCTGGATAACGTGGTTATTTTGGTGAGGGCGCAACGTGATTTGCTTTTCAGGTGTTTTTGGAGGCCCTCCTTCTGCACGGACATACAGCCGGTCCCTGAGCTGTGTAGCGAACGGAGAAGACCAGGATGCCCAGGAGGAGACGGAACCATCAGCAGGGACCTGTGGGAGAGGCATCCAGCAGAACAGGGCTGCTCATCTCCGCCTTGACAGGGAGAGAGAGGCAAGAATTTCAGAACGGTTTCGTTGTCTCGCTTCCCGGTTGTACATGTATGAACACAGCTGGATACGGTTTTGCAGACTCTGGGTTATGGTAAACAGGAGTTTGATTAAAATGCATTAATTGGTAGCTGAGGTGACTTGCAGCTGTATACAAGTCCTTTTGTTTATGTTAGTCATTGAGTCCCATTATGAGGTGAAGACTAAAGCTGGGTTAATGATGAGAACTCATTTGTCAGCATGCAAATTTTTGTTCTGGCTACTTATTTAACCGTTTTGCAAACAGCAATGAGAACACAGCTGCTCTCTTCTAGTGTTTGCAGAATGTTATATTAACGCTAAACCAGAAGTTTCTTGTAATTCAGCATTATTTTTCTAACAAGTGTTCAATAAAAAATGGGTTACATTTTCTCAGTAAGGTGACTTACTGCGGGTTGTTCCTGCAGTTTAAATAAGACAAGACTGTGGTGTCATTTGTTGATTGGTAACAACATAGGAAATAAATGTGATCTTCTTGGCATAGTCCATAGGGAACTTGTGTTCACATCTCCATCTACAAATAGCACCGATTAGCCATGCTGTTGATATGAAATTAAGTGGACTGCATAAAGGGCTTTTTTTGGTCCTGTGATATTTTAGATTAAAAAAAAAAAGTGGTATGAGGGACTCTTTAAACACCGTACAGCTCCACCAGTATTTGCCAGTAGGTCAGTACTTGATCCTGAGCCCTGTTTTCACTGTGATGCTGGAATCAGAGAAGGGCACAGAACCATATTTTTGCTATCCTGGATGAATGATTAACAATTAGACCTTAAAATCTCTTTTTTGTCTCTGCTGTGGAAGCTTTTCTTCTTTGTGTAAGCAACCGAACATTTACTGGGGATGCAACGAGTGCAAGAAAGTCATTTCCTGCCTAACTCAGTGGTTAATGGTCTGAGCTAAATCCATTTCAGCGTGCAACGTGAAGCACCGAGGCTCAGGCTCCTGCTCACGTCAGCGTGTAACTCCGTACGAGGAAGAACAGCTTCAGCGAGAACAGTCGGGAAAGACCGATCTCCCACCACGGTGCTTCTCCCGGCTTTTCTTTTGGCTCCACATGCATATTTTATGATAATGAATTGCTGCGTCAGAAGCTTCCCACCTAAGGGAAGTCCCTGGGAGAAGGGCTGCAGGAGGGAGTGGAGCTGGAACAGCACGGAGCAGTGTGGAAGGAGGAGCTGGCTGGGCTCCAGCATGGCTTGTTTCCTGGATGGACGTAGCAATCCAGCTCTGCTCATAAGTTTTTCAAGAAACACTCTCTGGGTATCGGTCCCATAATACGGTTTCACGAGGAGTGGCGCTGCTTTGTTAAATACTATTTACATCTGTTATGTCATGGAGCAAGATTTGTCTGACTGAAGTAGTGATACAAATTTTTAAAAAATTGAAATGAAAATCAAGTCTTTCTAAAAGCATTTAAAATAACATTTTAAGATGACTAAAACATTACGTTCATGATAAACAATGTCTAAGTTTTCTGATTTCCACTGAAGATATGAGCACTTGGAGGGATTAAATTCAAAGGAGTAAATGGAGGAAGGTATAAAATGTTACTAAGTTTTCACGAGGAACTGTAAGTGTCTTAAGCATCGGAGAGTAGTGTCAGACCTCACAGTTAAAGACCCCTGTTTAAAAAAAAAACAACCACAAATGTGTGCTTAAATGTGAGTGAGTTAGCCCAGACTGTTAGTTAAAATTCTAGGAAACTACACGAC